ACGGCGTCTATTGGCATGTCACTCACATACTAATGATAGAGCCACTTATTAAAAGCGTATACTTATGAATGTCTGTGGTAAGAAACGGAATGCTGTTGTATGAAGGGTTCGGCTTTCTGAGCCGCTGTGTGTGCGCCCCCTGGAGGAAGAGTCCGGTCATACACAGCAGGCAGCCGCTCACGCTCGACAACAACACCGCCATTTTCAGCGTTGGAGGCGGCGGGGACGCTGAAGTCTCCCGCGATATAGAGCTCAGCGAGAAGTAGGGCAACCTGCAACATCGCCGAGACGTACGCACTCAGACTCTCGCGAAAACAACGACATAAATTCAACCCATTCGTCTCCAATGCGTGTCCTCTGCGCCGCTGTGATGTGTTCAGGTTCCGGTCCGGGCTGACATTCAGACGAGGAGTCGGGATTTTGCCTATTTTTCACTGTTTGCATTTGCTACTTTACACGAGTAACACGCAAAGCAGGTAATTGTTAACGTTTATTTGGAGCAGCGCAGCAAGGCTGTTGTTGGTTTAATCTAACTAGATCACTCTCTGTGACTAAATGCATGAGTGCAGTGTGTGTATTGGGTTAATAAAGTGTTTGTTCATGAGTAATATCTCATCCATGGCAGTTTAGTTGCTTATATTAATTGAAAGTATTGGTTGCTGGTTAGTCTCGAGTATAAAGAAACTTAAAATTGTGTTTATAATTGCATTAAAGCAGTTTAACTCGTTTTCAAGAAAGTTCAAAGCCATTTAAACGTAATAAATATAGCAAACCCTGTAAAATAAACTTGTTTTAGGATGCATGTCTTCTCTGCATGTTTGCATCTGCCACTGTGTATACCTCTAATGCTTCACAGCTCTCTCAGGCCCCCAAGAATGAAAAGGTTGAGCAGAGACTGCGAAGACAGCACCTCATCCTGCGAGGGGCCGACGGACTCCTGCAAGAGGGCCAGACAGCCCGCCGAGGACCCTGGAGATCTGCTGTCCAACTGGGCTCGACGGCTACAGGAGATACTGCTCCACATCTTCCAGTACCTGCCTCTCCTCGATCGCGCCTTCGCCTCGCAGGTCTGCCGCGGCTGGAATGAGGCCTTCCACATGCCTGAGCTGTGGAGGTGCTTTGAGTTTGAGCTCAACCAGCCTGCCAGCTCTTACCTGAAGGCCACTCATCCTGACCTAATAAAGCAAATCATAAAGAGGCACTCCAATCATTTACAGTACGTCAGCTTCAAGGTGAGAGGCTCAGCGGGAAGCTGACAGTTACCAGCTGGCTCCACATTACCACTTTAAACATTACAGCTCACAAATCATGCCGAACTTAAAGGGACAGTTCACCCAAAAATTCAATTTCTGGCTAAATTTAATGACTCAAATCATGTCGTTTCAAACCTGTGACGTTCTCTTTTTTTTTCTTTTTCTGCAGAGCATTAAGATATTTTGAAGAATGTTGGTAACCAAACAGTTTTGGTTTCTGATGTATTGCAATGGTAACCAACACTTGGTCAACTTTGGTTACCAGCGTTCTTGAATATACCTTCTTTCATCATACAGGCTTAAAACAACGTGATTTGGGTAAGAAATTTCATTTTTGGGTGAACTATGCCTCCCAAAAATGACAGTTTTGGCATCATTCACTTGCCCAAATCACGCCCAAGACATTTGTTCATCTTCAAAATACAAATGAAAATATTTTAATAAAACCTGAGAGATTTCCTGTCCCTTCTTTGAAATCTTCAAATCATGAATCGAGTGATTTAAACCAAGTATTCTGAAGAGACAATCACTTTATATGGCGAACAGATTTAATTTAGGCTTTTGTTTACATGTAATCACTGATCAACGCACCTGCATAGAGCTCATCAAATATGGTAGAAATGATATACTTGTTAGATACGATGAATATGATGGGCTTAGATTAAATCACCCCATGGTTTGGTGTGGATTACTTATACGATGTCTTGATAAACTTTTTCAAGCCTTAAGGTTTTGGCTGCATGGACTTTCAGTGTAGGGACGGAAATCTCTTAGGCTTTCATTAGAAATGTATCGGTGTTTCAAAGATGAATGAAAATCTTGTGGGTTTGTCGTGAGGGTGAGTAAATGATGACAGAATTTTAATTTGCATCGTAAGTGCACCTAAAAAAAAATAGGTGATGTTTAAATATAAAAAAATCAGTAGATGTGTGTATAACGGCTATTTTACAATAACTGAACACGGCTGGTCTGATCAGTAGTTGAGTTGCTGGAGCTGATGCGAAGCACGTGTGATCTGTGTGCACAGGTGGACAGCAGTACAGAGTCAGCGGAGGCTGCGTGTGACATCCTGTCTCAGCTGGTCAACTGCTCTCTGAAGACCCTTGGGCTGATCTCCACTGCACGGCCGAGCTTCATGGAGCTGCCGAAGGTATCAGGACGTGTGTTTTGGCTGAGTTGTGTGTTGGGATGATGGGTCGGCTTGTTTCCTGATGTCTGATTGTTTCCTCTCTTCAGTCGCACTTCATCTCTGCACTAACCGTGGTGTTTGTCAACTCCAAGTCTCTTTCGTCTCTGAAAATTGACGACACGCCAGTAGATGATCCTTCGCTCAAGGTCCTGGTGGCCAACAACAGTGACACACTCAAGCTGTTAAAGATGAGCAGCTGCCCACATGTTTCTCCTGCAGGTATGACTTACTCATCTGCCGCTGTTGTTATTTGAGGAACTTTGATTTAAACAGTTAAATATTAATATCAATAATAATAATAATAAGTTTAATAATTGACGACTTTATCTTAATGCAAGAATAGTCTGAAATAAACAAAAGACACAATACTGTTTAATGTAGCTTGCACAGAACTGGATAACCAATATGTAAAATCCTGCTACATAAGTTTATTAAGGCAATTTTCATAATACTACTTGCTGCATTGTGGTTTTGTCAGTTGATTTCTCAAATTACACATTCATTTTGCCGTTAGTAGTGTTGCCTTAGAAATGCATAAGTCTGAGGTTGAACAGCTTTGAGTTGAACGTCCGGCTTGTCATCTAGTAATTATGGTGAATACGACATGCCACGAAAGCACCAATTCTCTTATGTTCTCTTGTGTTTTGTGATGCAGTCAACATTGATTTCAATGCTGCAAAACCTCCATTTGAGTGGAAGTGGAAGCGGAAAGATTTTCAGTGAATAACCACTTAAATTTAGGTCCGTTCCTCTCACAACGACTTGAAATGTAGCGCACGAGTCATACAAACATAGGCTTTTTATGCCATTTTTGCAACCTGATATTCACAGTGCATATTCACTTGATAAAAGAGCAGGTCAGTATTGTGTATGACTAAGTCATATGGATTTGGAACAACATGAGACAACATGACACAATTTTGATTTTAGGTTAACTTTTAAATAATCTGAAAAATCAATATTAAAAGAATAGTTCACCCAAAAATGAAAATTGGCTGAATTTACTCACCCTCAGGCCATCCGAGATGTAGATGAGTTTGTTTCTTCATCAGAACAGATTTGGAGAAATGTAGCATCACATCACTTGCTCACCAATGGATCATGTGCAGTGAATGGGTGCCGTCAGAATGAGAGTCCAAACAGCTGATAAAAACATCACAATAATCCACACCACTCCAGTCACACTTCCATTCTGCCACTCTTTTTTTTATGAAATTATATTGATGTTTCTTTTGTCAGAGGTTGATATGTAATTAGATCGAACAACTGTGTTTGTGCTTAATAGTGCATGGACCTTAGTCAGACTCTGTATTATTTATAGTGTCTAGCACAGGTGAAACCCATCAGTCTGCTGTTGTTGCAGGTATTCTGTGCGTCGCTGATCAGTGTCACGGTCTGAGAGAGCTGGCTCTGAACTATCACTTACTGAGCGACGAGCTGCTGCTGGCGCTGTCCTCCGAGAAGCACGTGCACCTCGAGCATCTGCGCATAGACGTGGTGAGCGAGAACCCCGGCCAGCAGTTCCACACCATCAAGAAGAGCAGCTGGGACGCCATGGTGCGCCATTCGCCCAAATTCAACCTGGTCATGTACTTCTTCCTGTACGAGGATGAGTTTGGGCCTTTTTTCCGCGACGAGATCCCTGTTACGCACCTCTACTTCGGCCGCTCTGTCAGCAAAGAGGTCCTGGGCCGCGTGGGCATGAATTGTCCGCGTCTGGTGGAGCTGGTGGTGTGTGCCAACGGTCTGCGGCCGCTGGACGAGGAGCTGATCCGTATCGCCGAACGCTGCCAGCACCTGTCGGCCATCGGACTGGGCGAGTGCGAGGTCTCCTGCAGCGCTTTCGTGGAGTTCGTGAAGATGTGTGGCCGCCGTCTCTCTCAGCTCTCCATCATGGAGGAGGTGCTCATCCCAGACCACAAATACAGCCTGGACGAGATCCACTGGGAAGTGTCCAAGCACCTCGGGCGCGTTTGGTTTCCAGATATGATGCCCACCTGGTGAAGTGTTGTGTTAAGAAGACCATAAAAAGTAATCGGACTTTGGTAATATGGACTCTGTGATTTTTTGCGTGAGTTTCACAGTTGCTTCACAAGGTTTGTACATAGATTTGATTTGAGATCTATATTCACACACTGCTATAATGAATGTGGACTGTTGTAAAGGGACAGTTCACGCAGAAATAAAAATGTTATTATTTACTCAACCTTAAATCCTTTCAAATATTTATGATCATCTTCTGTGGAACACGAAAGAAGATATTTTGAAGAATGGTGAAAAACAAAATGGCCATTTTCAAAAGCAAATGAGGACTGGGGTGTCAAGACCAAAAAAGCAGCATAAAAGCATCTTGTTCACAATATTCCAAGTCTTCTGAACATATGATAGCTTTGGTTCGACAAAAATACCAAAATTTAGATATTCATGGAAAGCCTTATCTCACTATGAGAGAAGTATCTGAATTAATCGTCATATCTTTTCAATGAATCGCTTTCATATGGAAAACAGTGGCAATATTCTTCAAAAAATCTCCTTTTGTGTTCTACAGAAGAAAGTCATACAGGTTTGTAGAATGACAGGAGGGTGAGTAAATGATTTTACATTTTTGAGTGAACCATTTCTTTAATGGCATGTTGTGACAAATCTCCATTTAATGAGTCTTATAAAAAATCTCATAACAATTTACCTTATTATTAAAACACAAAACATCATAATTATACTGAATTAGATGGTGCATCAAAAAGAGATGAAGCCCATTTAAGGACCATTAATTTTTTACCATAAATAACAATTAAGCATTTTTCCTGTTATTCTCAATATCATCTCTTTGAGATTGTTTGATTTTATTAATCCCATTCGATTCTCATTACTGTAATAAAGTAATTGTTACAGTTCTGTTGTTATTTAATCAGCATAAAGGCAGCACAACAAAATCCACTATGATCTATAAATTTAATACTGCCAGGATCTAAATATTTCACAATTCAGATAACAATGCAAAACCAAATAAGATTAAGCTTATTTGTGAAAAATAGCTTTGTAGTTTTGATTTTTGAGGTGTAGTATAATCTGGACATTTTGTAAGATTTACTAATTTATCTTTTTTGGAAGCTTTCCTCTTGACATTTCCTTTATGAAACTAAATCAAGGATTGCTGTACATGCCCCACCACTGTTACACTTTCAGATTATTTTGAGAAAAAAAAAAAAATTAATTTAGAAAAGAAACTGAAAACTTTTTAGATGCAGATATTCATTATTCCTTATTTTGATGAATGGGCTCTCTGTGTCCGTTTCGTCTTCAGTGGCTCGACATTGTACCATATTTCCAAACTCAATCTCATGTAAAATCATTCTTATATCAGAGCACAAACAGTGGTATTTAGTTAAAAGCGTTTTAAGCAATTAACCATCCATTTCCAAAATGCCTGTCCACAGGGCTGTTGGAGCCCGTCCCAGAATCTCTCGTTTTGATTATACTGATCAATCTATAGCTGGTTTGTGAGTCTTCAGCAGCTCCTCCTAGTGGCATGAAAAGCCAGAACACTAGTGAGAGTGGTTTCCTCACTAACTAGTGGCCTCTCATCACCAACACAAATATACGTTTAAAAGAAGTGCACAGCCATCTGGGTTGGGCTTTTGGTTTAGTGAACCATATTTTGTGTGATTCATTTTGTATTACATACGTATGGTATGACAGTGCTTTTGTACAAAGATAGTATGCACCTTATACCAAATTGAAATATTTCTTTCTGGTGGTTCAGGTGAGCATGTTGTTGCTCATATTTTGGTGTAGCAGGGAAGAGGGTGCAGAATAATAGGAATAACAGCATATTTTCACGGTCTTAGGTATGTCAGAGAGGAAGGAAATGAAAGCATCAGTGTTTGGCTCACAGTACACTTGTGTCCCAAAATTTGGAAGAAAATAGTCAAAGAATTTTAGGGATACAATGAAGCATTGATTGGTTTCTATTAGATTGCATGAAGAATGCTGTGCAATGACACACTGAATGGGATGCGACCATATAATGAATGAATTAGTCTGGATATGCAGACAGTGCTTGATTTGGCTGCGTTCGCATGCACCCCTTCGTTTCAGTTCAATATGATTCAGTATTGGAGTGAAGCAGAGAACATTTTCCTTTAAGAAGGAACTCCCACGTGTCTGTATATAAAATTCTGTGTGTTTGATATAAATAGAAATACTTCTTTCTCGCGCACCCTCTGTGGAGGTTTGACGTGCATCTGTGCTGATCTCTTTCAGACGAGTGGGAATTACTCCTCGATGGATCTTTGTACCCTTGTAATTACAGATGATCATCAGTGTAATTTATTGATATCCTTTTTAAAATTATTAATCTGCTTGTATTGATAGTTTAGCTTTGAGTGAGATGCTCCATGATTTATATGCATATTATATAGTTTATAAAAAGTCAGTAGCATGTAATAGTTTTTCTTTGCCCATTATCCAGAATTCAAGCGGTTTTAGCTTTTGCAAATTGTTTTAGCAACTAAATTAAGTAATCTAAGGTTCCTGCCAGCATTTGAAAGTGAAATATTCTTGAAAATGATCAGTAAAGAGAAGCCACAACCCAGTAGTTCACATACAAATTAAAATGCACGCGCTAGGCTTTAGTCAGCGCATAGCTTGCCAACTTGAAACACAAAAAAAAACTTTGTTAGACTGGCTTTTTGGAAGTGCTCAATGTAAACCAGAGCTTAGAAAAATGTACAAGTAGCAATGCTTCTGAAGCAAGTGAGCATATTGCTTGTATTGCGAATATGAAAGCATCACATTTCTTTTGCATGTCAAACATTGTGTGAAACATAGTGTGGATGTTTTGCAGATCATTTATTCATAAATGTGCCGTACAGCAACAACAAAAAAACGTAAAAAATTATGTTTGCGTTAGTATAAGTTAACACATCTAATAAATCGGACATCATCTGGAATGGAAATAGAAAATTTAAAATGCAATTTTATTTAGTAGCAAAAACAATTTGATGGTTGTTGAAGAATAAAGAATATGGTGGTTATGGTAAAGGAATCTCCTCATAGTTTATTTTAATGTAAGGATATTTCATCGGCAGCTTCCAATATTCAGAGTTGTAGTAGAAATAGAAGGTCTTCTCTAGGACCATCTTTTCCAAAGCCTCCAGCAGACTCTCAATCACTTCTACGACTGACTGGTGAGAGCGGAACGAGTGGTAGAACTTCTTGATGTCTGTGGCGAGATCTCGTGTGGAAGACTGTTGAAAGATGGAGTCGTCTCCCAAATAGAGCGGCTCTCCGCTGTACAGATAGATCTTGGTGTAAGATGTGGGAGTTTGGCTGGACAGGTCGGCACCCATATCCAGTAATTTCTTATACGTGCGGTGCACAAACTGAGAACAATCATACGACTCAAACCACGTTGTGGCGTTCACACCAGCATCTGACTTTACTGTCCAAGTCTCATAATAAACACCCGTTTCATTGTCCTCCTGAACCCAGCGAGCCATCTCATTGAACATCTCACCTGATAAAACAAAAATATAACATCTTAATTCAACAGAAAACACATGGCAATGAAGATGAAGTGAGAGTTTCAGGCTCCAATATTATATTCACTGCTCATGATATTTTATATTTTAAATTTTGCTAATGTAAATACGTCAACAATGTAATGGTATCTAGCTAGTTTACATAAATGTCTTTTTTTGTTTTTCATTATAGTTTACCATTTTTCATGTGAAATGTAAGAGTTTAAGATTGTAAGATTGTAAAATTGCCACAATATATATATATTTTTTTTTCAGACAAAATATTAATGATATAATAATGTAATTTATTCCTGTGATGCAAAGCTGAATTTTCAGCATCATTACTCCAGTCTTCAGTGACAGTGTCACAAATCATAATATGCTGATTTGCTGCATAATTATTATCGGTGCTCAGTTATTAGTAATGGTTCTTCTTATTTTCTATGTTAAAACAGTTGTTGCTTCTTAATATTTTGTGGGAACCTTTTTTTCAGGATTCTTTTATAAATAGAAAGTTCAAAAGAACAGCTTTATTTTAAAGAAAAATCTTTTGTACCATTATAAATGCTTTTTCTGCCACTTTTGGCAAAAATTGATGCATGTTTGCTGAATAAAAACATTACGTTCTAATAAAAACACAAAACAATTTTGAGCACATAAATGCAGCCATGGTGAGAAGTAGTGAGTTCATTAAAACCATAAAAATCGTAATGTTTCCAAACTTTTGACAAGTACTGTATATCATTACACAAAATAATCAGTGTTGGGGAGTAACTAGTTACATGTAACAGAATTACGTAATTTCATTGCAAAATATAGTAACACTTTATTTTAAGGTGTCCTTGTTACATATGTTACATGTACTTACTATTATAATAAAAATTAATTATGCATAATTACATGCAAGTAACCCTAAACCAAACCCTAACCATATAGAAAGTACATGTAGTTAATCAATATTACTCAGTACTTATATGTATAATTACACTGGAACAAGGACACCTTAAAATAAAGTGTAAACCAAAATAAATGTAATTGTAATTGGTTACAGTTACTGAGAATGTGTAATTAAGTTACAGTTACTTATGAAAATGTTAACGATTACAAAGGGGGTTACATCTGAATTTTTCACACACACACACACACCCACACAGATTTAATTGATTTCTTTAATAAATTGCAGTGGCTGCTCTAAAATACGAGACACCAATGTCTCAGGAGATTAGTACAGAGAATAGGACACATGCTTATTCGATAACGGTTCTATTTCCGATTTGGGTTTATATTTGATTTTTTATACAGTTTTTTCCAAGTCATTGTTAGATTTCAGTGTTTCCTGTCATTGCTCTGCAAGATTTGATTTCAAAAACAGCATCATAGCTGTTAAACTATTTTCTTATTATGCTTTTAAATCTGTATTTAACCCCAGAATGATCTCAAAGTAAGTCTGATTTTGTGGTGGCTCTGCTTTCAAATTAAATTATTATAACCTTAATTCAAGTGATGAAGGATTTTGAAAGTCGGACAGTAACTACAACCCCAATTCCAGAAAAGTTGAGACGTTTTGTGAAATACCATAAAATCAAGAATGTTATATTATATTTCACTGGCCAACTTGATTTTTATTTTGATGGCTGTAACACATTCCAAAAAAGTTGGGACAGAGGCATGTTTAACTGTCACATTACCTTTCCTTTTAATTACAATGTTTAATTGTTTGGGAATTGAGGATACTAATTGTTAAGGTTTTGCAAGCAACATTTTTGTCCAGTCTCGCTTGATACAAGACTTCAGATGCTCAGCAGTCTCTGATCATCATGTCTGATTCTCCTTTTCATGACTGGACATACATTTTCAATAGGAGACAGATCTGGACTGCAGGCAGGCCAGTCTAGCACATCCTCTCTGTGTCTATGAAACTACACTGTTGTAGCATGTAGAATGAGAGCTGGCATTGTCTTGATCTAATATGGACTTCCCATGAAAGACGTCATCTTGATGGCAGTATATGGCTCTGTACAATCACAATATATGCCTCCATGTCAGTGGTACCTTCGCACATATGCCAGTCACCCGTGCCGTTTGCTCTGCTGCAGCCCCATACCATGGCAAACGTTTGGCTTTTGCATCTGTTGCTGGTAAAAGTCTGGATGGTCCCTTTGGTCTTTGGGACTGATAACTTGATGTCCATTTTTCCCAGACCCTCATCTTCTTTTTGACCATCTGAGATGAGCTCCGGCCCAGAGAACCCTGTAGCATCACTGCATAAAATTGATGTATAGATTTCTCCTAGAGTAACAGAGATTCAGGTTGCATTTATTGTGTTAAGTGACAGTGGTTTTCCGAAGTACTCCTGAACCCATGTGGCTATATTTAACACCGCAGCATTCTTATGCAATGCCATCTGAGGGCTCAAAAGTCATGCACATTCAACTGAGGTTTCCTGTTTTGCTCTACACAGACAGATTTCTCTGGAATCCCTGAATCTTTTCACAATATTACAGTATATGGAAGTTAGTGAAAGACCTAAATTCTTTGCAATTTTGCATTGAGAAATGTGATTTATGATTCGTTTGACGCTTCTTTTATGAAATTTGGCACAAAGTGGTGAGCCATGATCCAGCTTTGCTTGCAAAGACTGAGATGCTCCTTTTATACCCAAACATGACACCCATAGAAATACATTGCATGACTTCCATTTAGGTCAAATTATTCAAACATACCAAGGAAGATGAATATAATGTCAAATATCTACAGATCTAAAATGAGGGAATTTACTTGAATATTTTTTTGTTTTTATTTCAGGAGTGCCTTTTACAGAGGTGTCACCAGCGAGCTGCCTGACCTCTCAGTGGCTGAGCTGTTCTAGGACTTTGTATTAGCACTACATCCCCTTTGGTCTCCACAATCAGGATGTTCAGTGAGGATTCACTGGTGGATTCAGCCTTTGGAAAAGTTTCGGCTGGGAGTGTGTTGTTATAGCAGCAGAAACAACCTGCAACATCACTCACCATCAAAATGCCCCATCGCCGCCACATCTGCCACTTGTTGGTTACAGCCTTAACCCATCTGTCTGCTTGTTTGTCCATAGCGAATGGTTTTTTGTATATACACAACGTTTGCATTGCCATAGAGCAGGTACCAAAGTCATTTATATGTACATGTTTGCATTACTGCAGTTCAGGTAACATTGTATCAAAGTTGTTTATGTTCACATCACGATATTGCAGATAACACCGATAAGTATTGAAGTTATTTATATTTACATGTTTACATTATCCACATTTGTACAAATAAATGCACATTTATCCATCCACAATTTCTATACTAAATACGATTTTATTTAATATATCGTGCTGTTCTATTGTGTTGTTGTGAAGAGTGTGAGTAGCCAAGGGTAAGAATGAAGTCTTTCTCTTCAATACTTCGCTTGTATTAAGGGGCGTTGTGCTGAACAGGAGTAGATGTTCTACGACTGTTAATATTTAAACTTTCAGAAAGCAATAACTAGAATGAGATGTTATATAGTTTTATGTTTATAACAATACTTATTTAGAAAATACGAACTAGTTTTTGTTTACAATACGTCAAGAAAGAGTTCTGCCGCTGGCACACTTCGCTATAGAGCTATATGGAAGAGAAGCCGCTGGCTGAGATTCTCCCGGAAACACATAAGCAGCGTTCGTGCATAGAGTCTGTTGAGGATATTCTTTTATTTTGCCTTTGTCCCAACTTTTTTTTGGAGTGTGCTGCAGCCATGAAAATCAACATTTGTTTATATTTACAAAATACATTTAAGTTGGTCAGTGAAAACGTTGGAAATATTTTCCAAATTAAATAAAATTTAAAGAGAATAATAAAAAAAAAAAAACACAGATTCTTGATTTTATTGCATTTTACAAAACTACCCAACTTTTCTGGAATTGGGGTTGTGGTGTTGAGCTCTACTGTAAGTTTAACCCTGCCTGGTTTAAATGTTTGAAAATGACTAACAGTTGAAAACAACAGAAATTTAGAAAAGTAATCAAACGTTACATTACTTTAATAAAGTAACTGAAATAGTTACACTACTTACATTTTAAACAGGGTAACTTGTAATCTGTAACCTATTCCATTTCCAAAGTAACCTCCCCAACATTGAAAATAATCGTGTTCATGTGTAAACAGAGCGTCTGCCAGCCTTACCCGAAATCTCTCCTATCTTCTCCAGAGAGCCGTTCTGCTTCCAGTGAACGTCATCGATCTCGTCATAGAAGCACGCGGCTCCCTGATTGCACCAGAAGGGCGCGCTCATGCCCGCTCTCTCGTGAGGAAAAGTGCAGTTTCCCAGCTGAAACAGCTCGTACCACTCCATGGTGAAGTTTCTCCCCGTTTTTGCGCTTCCAAAGCCAATGGCATCATGCATGATGTGCTGAACAGAGCAAGACTTTCGATTAGACTCAACCCAACGGACTCTACAGGAGAGCGCTGTGCTGTTGAGCGCGCGCACTCACAAACTTTCCCAAGACGTCTCCGTATCTGAACTCCCACACCGGAGTCTGCAGCCTGAAGACCGAGACGAGGTCGGAGTCTCTCATGACGGGCATCTGGCCGTCTGGAGCTCCGCTCGGGCAGAACGGGAATAAAGCCTGGCAGTAGGGATCAACATCTGGACGTCGGTCAAGTCGCCTAGAAATTGATATGAATTGTGGGTTGGTGGATATAACGTGTATTAATATTCATGAGAATAAAGTACTGGATATGTAAATGCATAACTTACATGTAAGAAATCATTAGTTAAACATTCCTATAGTGTGATTAATGCACACTACCAGTCAAAAGTTTTTGAACAGTAAGATTTTTAATGTTTCTTAAAGAATTCTCTAATGCTCACCAAGCCTGCATTTACTTGATCCAAAATACAGCAAAAGCAGTAATATTGTGAAATATTTTACTATTTAAAATAACTGTTTTCTATTTGAATAAATTGTAAAATGTCGTTTATTCCTGTGATGCAAAGCTGAATTTTCAGCATCATTACTCGTCTTCAGTGTCACATGATCCTTCAGAAATCATTATATTATGCTGATTTTAATTCTCAAAAAACATTTTATTGTTGAAAACAGCTGGATAGAACTTTTTCAGGTTTCTTTAATTAGTAGAAAGTTCAGAAGAACAGCGTTTATCTGAAATAGAAATCTTTTGTAACATTATAAATGACTTTATCATCACTTTTGATCAATTTAAAGCATCCTTGCTAAATAACAGTATTCATTTCTATAATTTCTTAACCCCAAATATATATACTGACTCCAAGCTTTTGAATGGAATAGTGTATAATGTTACAAAAGCATTTGATTTCAGGTAAATGCTGATCTTTGGATCTTTCTATTCATCAAAGAATCCTGAAAAAAAATGTGCTCAACTGTTTTAAATATCAATAATAATAATGATAAATGTTTCTTGAGCAGCAAATCAGCATATCAGAATGATTTCTGAAGATCATGTGACACTGAAGACGAGTAATGATGCTGAAAATTCAGCTTAGCATCACAAGAATAAATTACATTTTAAAACATATTCAAATAGAAAGCAGTTATTTTAAAAAGTAAACATATTTCACAATATTACTGTTTTTGCTGTATTTTGGATCAAATAGATGAAGGCTTGGCGAGCAGAAGAGAATGCTTTAAAAACATTAAAAATCTTACTGTTCAAAAACTTTTGACTGGTAGTGATTATTTTCATATTAATATTCATATGAGTATTAACTGAAAACATTAAACCAATAAACCATAGTGCAAAAAAGTAAACAATGTAAACGTTTATTCCCTGCTGACAATGTGAGTGTGAACACATCTCACTGGTTTGTGTTGCTGCAGCTTAACTTACTTGTAAGGCACTGGCCAGACCTGCTGTCCATCGACGCCAGAAGCGGCCAGTCCCACAACCCAACAGGACAGCAGCGCGTGAATGAAGTAAAGGAGATAGTTCATGTCAGCACAGGCTCGCACAAACACTAATGTGCTGTCTGAGGTCTTGCAGCTGTCTGTATCGTCCGTCGCTCCTGTCTCACATCCTTATTTTAGAGAATACTGATCACGTGACACGAGTCATCTGGTCAGTCACGCGCTTTATTGTTACAATCCTGTCCAAATAAAAGCCACGAACATTAATTATAATACATTATAATGATAATATTATTTAAATTATATCTAAATAATAATATTAATTTATTATTATTATTAATAATAATACATTTCAAGTTTACACTTTGTAAAGATAATAGTATAAATATAATGTACAACACATAGATAGACAATAGCCAACTTCATGTGGAACAACCTTTTGATGCTTTTTAAACGGCATTGCAAAAAGGACTTGTAAAGAAGCTTCAAGCATTAAGCCAAGCTTTTTGATCAAAGGGGTTTTAAGAAACATTTAGCAAAGTGTCTCGACCACTGACTATATATAAATGTGTGTGTGTGTGTGTGTGTGTGTGTCTGTGTCTTAATTCACCCAAAAAGGAAAACTGTCATATTTACACAACCTTCTCTTGTTCCAAACCTGAATGTGTTTCAACCAAACCGGTAGCCATTGACTTCCACAGTATTTTTTTCATACCATGGAAGTCAATGGCTACCGGCAGTGTGTGTGTGTGTGTGTGTGTGTGTGTGTGTGTGTGTGAAAGTAAACGTGTTTTTTCACATTTTGCTTTGTTAACGTGTCAAAAAATCATTAATGTATATTTTATATTTCTAAATAAATAGATCTATCTATCTATCTATCTATCTATCTATCTATCTATCTGTCTGTCTAGAGATGATAGATAGATAGATAGATAGATAGATAGATGATAGATAGACAGACAGACAGACAGACAGATAGACAGACAGACGGACCGACGGACGGACGGACGGACGGACGGACGGACGGACGGACGGACGGACGGACGGACGGACGGACGGACGGACGGACGGACGGACGGACGGACGGACGGACGGACGGACGGACGGACGGACGGACGGACGGACGGACGGACGGACGGACGGACGGACGGACGGACGGACGGACGGACGGACGGACGGACGGACGGACGGACGGACGGACGGACGGACGGACGGACGGACGGACGGACGGACGGACGGACGGACGGACGGACGGATAGATGATAGATAGATAGACAGACAGACGGACGGACGGACGGACGGATAGATAGATGATAGATAGATAAACAGACAGACAGACAGACAGATAGACAGATAGATAGATAGATGATAGATGGATGGATGGATGGATGGATGGATAGACAGACAGACAGACAGACAGACAGACAGACAGACAGACAGACAGACAGACAGACGATGGATAGATAGATGATAGATAGATAGACAGACAGACAGACAGACAGACAGACAGATAGACAGACAGACAGACGGACGGACGGACAGATAGATGATAGATAGACAGACAGACAGACAGACAGATAGATCGATAGATAGATAGATAGATAGATAGACAGACAGACAGACAGACAGATAGATCGATAGATAGATAGATAGATAGATAGACAGACAGACAGACAGACAGATAGATCGATAGATAGATAGATAGATAGATAGACAGACAGACAGACAGACAGATAGATCGATAGATAGATAGATAGATAGATAGACAGACAGACAGACAGACAGATAGATCGATAGATAGATAGATAGATAGATAGACAGACAGACAGACAGACAGATAGATCGATAGATAGATAGATAGATAGATAGACAGACAGACAGACAGACAGATAGATCGATAGATAGATAGATAGATAGATAGACAGACAGACAGACAGACAGATAGATCGATAGATAGATAGATAGATAGATAGACAGACAGACAGACAGACAGATAGATCGATAGATAGATAGATAGATAGATAGATGGATGGATAGATAGATAGATGATAGACAGACAGATAGACAGACAGACAGATAGACAGATAGATCGATAGATAGATCGATAGATAGATCGATAGATAGATAGATAGATAGATAGATAGAAAGAAAAGTAGTGGTTTATTTTGAGAAAGTATTATTAAAGCAAGCGCGTTCTGGGCTGAAACGCATTGCTATGGTAACGGTAAACAGTCTCGAGCTGAATCTTTCCTTTGGGATAGTTCCCTCTTCTCTGATCGTTCAGCTCTAGTTTATCATGTCAGACGTTGGCTCTGAAGAGTTTGACAACGAGCAGGGCTCTCTAGGGGTGAGTTACTCTCAGTAGTTCCCTTCTTTTGACCGTGAGTGGACAGTAGCGGACACTATTCGCCGTGTGTTGCAGGAGTTTGAGGGAGACAGAAATGAAGCTGGAGAGAGACATGGACAGGGCAAAGCTGTCCTGCCGAATGGAGACACTTACCAAGGAGCTTATGAAAACGGCAAGAGATGTGGCCAGGTCATTTTGCTCATCAAACACACTCATTGACCGTTTATGCTGTTTCTGTTCTCATAAACAATGGAGACATACGATAAACACTGTGTTGTCTGTTTATCAGGGGACATATACGTTCAAGAATGGGGCCAGATACATTGGAGAATGGTACATGAATTTAAAACATGAACAGGGTACATTTTATTACCCAGATGGCTCCAAATATGAAGGTAAGTCGTTATCGTTATTATCTCAAGTACATGTAAGCATATGTGATTTAGGTTCACATTTTTGTTAACATTAGTTAATGCTTTAGGTATCATGAACTGACAATGAGCAATGCACTTTACACAGAGTTGTTACCTTTAACTAAAACTATTAAAGGGGTCATATGATGCGATTTCAATTTTTCCTTTCTCTTTGAAGTGTTACAAGCTCTTGGTGCATAAAGAAGATCTGTAAAGTTGCAAAGACTAAAGTCTCAAATCCAAAGAGATATTCTTTATAAAAGTTAAGAGTCAGCCACGCCTACCTAAAACGGCTCGTTCTAACACGCACCCACATGTCTACCTCACTATGTGGGAAGATTTGCATAACGCCGCCCAAATGTTCACGCAAAGAAAGAAGGCATAACTTTTATTCTCTGTAGTATTGTTGTTGATGCCGCCGCCATGTTGTGAAGGCACTGTGTGCTTCGTTGTGAAAGCGAAACTACTTTGTTTGGTCTTCCAAAAGAGGACGATATCCACTTCGTCATGCCTGGAGCTGATCCGTGCTGGTTGCTGAGGAAATACATCAACTTCACACTGTGGATCGCTGGATCAGCTTTCACTGTGGACGAAGCGGAGTCGAGCCCGGGGTCGCCACATGTGGTTGCCGCAAGCCCGCCCGCCGCCGCTCACTTAAGCCGGCCTCCGCTCACTCTAGGCCGCCGGCCACTGCTCACTCTATCCGTGCTGGTCGCTGAGGAAATACATCAACTTCACACTGTGGATCGCTGGATCAGCTTTCACTGTGGACGAAGCGGAGTCCAGCCCGGGGTTGCCACATGTGGTTGCTGCAAGCCCGCCGGACGCTCCTCACTCTAGCCCGCCGTGTGTTTCGTTGTGAAAGGGAAACATGTGGAAAATAATGTGTTTTTTTAACTTTAAACCGCATAAACATTTCATTACACCAAATACACAAAATAATGTTCTTTTTAGCAGCATCATATGACCCCTTTAATAACATCTTTGTTAATAGAATAGAACTGAAATAAAATAACAGAATAGCTGAAATAAAATAAAATACTAATGTTAGTTGAAAACCTTTGACAATTTTGAAATGCCTTGGCAGCTAACTGAAATAAGTACCAAGTAGAAATACTAAAATTACTGAAATAAAAAAAAACAATTATTAAACAAAAATGTATAAAACTGGCAACAGCATATAACAAATTACTAAAAATTAAAATGAAAACATAAAAGTTAATTCAAAATATTAACAAAAACTATAACAGTATAAAAGTAATACTAATATAACATTGCTTTTACAGTACTTATTAATCTATGTTAATGTATACATATACTAATATAATTTTAACATTACATGAACTAACAATTAACAATAGTATATATTTATAAATTAATTAAAACATTCTCAAATTAATGTTAATTTTTTCATATCGACTTTTCACTAATTGTTATGCTGATAATATTATGTATACAAAATGTTATAATTTATAAAAAATATTGTATTCAATTAGAAATAAACATTCAAAATAGAAGCTCTCATATCATATTTCTTCCTCTTCCGCAGGAAGTTGGGTTGATGACCAGCGGCAGGGTCATGGTGTGTACACATACCCCAATGGAGACACATTTGATGGAGAATGGCTGCACCATCAGAGGTAGTTGAGCTCCGGCTCATAATTTTCTTTCTCACTGATCTAATCTAGTAATCTAATATGTCTACTCTATGGATATTAGTTGCAACAGTATTCATAACATCTTCAGCTTAACTAAAAATGTATAGGAAAACATGCTTATTAAGAACCTGTCTCTCTGTTTCTCTTTTAGACATGGGCAGGGTACATACAGACATCACAACACAGGTTCTCAGTACATGGGCACATGGATCATGGGTAAAATGGAGTCATCTGGGGAGCTGATCCATCAGAACCACAGATATCGGGGCAACTTCGTCAATAATAATGTAAGTAATTCTCTACATTTATGGTTCTAAGCAGGTGGGTCATAGCAAATGGTTTGTAGATCAGTTCAAATCTGTTCAAAATTGAAATTGTTCTCTGTTAACTTCTCTCACACAGTGATCTCTTATTTCTTGTAATTGTTATTTTCTAGCCGTCTGGTCCAGGGAAGTATGTGTTTGACATTGGGTGTGAGCAGCATGGAGAGTATGTCCAGATAGATCAGGTATGTCTCTTCATGACAAGATGTCTTTAAACTTCATGAGAGTGTATTTCAGGTGGCATGGTCATATAAAACTGCAGATACTATATACAAAATGTTCCTCTCCCTGTGTTCTCAGCAGTGTTTTGTCGGTATATGGCTTGTTTAGAGAATTGTTTTAAATACCCTTGTGAAAAAGAAGTGCACTTAATTGTATGAAATGTGCACTTGTAGTGTATTTCAAATCTGAATAGTATATTTAAAAACACATGCAGTAAATATTAATGGAATAAAAGGCAACTTAAGTGTTCTTAAAGAGAGCAGCTTTCATGACTATGTTTCTTAACACACTTTTAAAAATGGAAATTAAGTCAAATTAAAAGTTTTACTTTGAAAACACATTTTGAATCATGGTTTTAATGCACTTTAAAGTAGTACACTGATTTTTAAGTGTTGACTAACACATGTAAAGTACTTGATTATAATTTTAACTGTCATGAGTTATTCAATATTACATTTCATTTTAAATGTACTAAATTGCAACTTCATTATTACAAATGTGTAATTACAAATATATTTAAATTAGGGCTGGTAAGCGATTAAAAATTTTAATCTAATTAATTACATGATGTGGCGATTAATTAATCTAATTAATCGCAAATTAATCGCACATCAAATTTGGCTGAGAAATTACTCCCAAAAGATCATTTAATGTCATTGTTTTGTAAAGCATCAAACAGACATTAAAGCATGTCAACATATTCTGTTACACCAAATACACAAAATAATGATCTTTAAAAAAGCATAATATGACCCCTTTAAGGAAATGATACTCTGGTAAATGTCTTTTATTCATTTATTTGATTCGTTCACATGGCTGATTCATTCAGGAGTGAAGTAAATAGTTCTTTATGAATGGTCCATTGAATCATTAGGCTTGTTCGACTTGAAGCGGATCATCGCCATCAGACCGATTGGTGGGTGACATCAAAGTACCGCAAGAGACGACTCTGCATGCTTTTGAATCGTTCTCGGCTCGCGGTACTTTGATGTCATACACCGATCGGTCTGTGCAGCGCCGCTTCAAATCCAACGCGTCTAGGGCCAATGGTTCAACGTGCCAAATGGTTCACCCAAATCATTCAAAACGTGCATTAAGAAATTAAATGCCGTTGTGTGTTGCTCGGAGACTAACAGTTCTGCTTTGTCTTTATATTTTCGTTGGCAAAATTGATACACAATATCAACTTCTTACTTACTGAACTGTTGTATAAGATCACTCGTGTGATATTGCACTTAGCCTATTGCTCATGTGATATTGCTTAACTATATGATGTAAACATGAGACAAAAACTCAAACAGGGGCATTTTTGCCCCATATCTTGAATTTTAGGGACATTCTAACTACGTTCTCTAGGCTCCATCACGCAGTGAGTTGTTGCCCTGCCTCATATTTGTCATCAATCAGCTGTATGAAATGTGACCCTGGACCACAAAACCAATCATAAGGTTCAATTTTCCGAAATTGAGATTTATACATAAGCTGAAAGCTGAATAAATAAGCTTTCCATTGATGCATGGTTTGTTAGGATAGGAGGACAATATTTGGCCGAGATACAACTATTTGAAAATCTGTAATCTGAGGGTGCAAAAAAATCTAAATATTGAGAAAATCACCTTTAAATTTGTCCAAATTAAGTTCTTAGCAATGCATATTACTAATCAAAAATTAAATTGTAATATATTTAAAGTAGGAAATTTACAAAGTATCTTCATGGAACATGATCTTTACTTAATATACTAATGATTTTTGGCATAAAAGAAAAATCAATAATTTTGACCGATACAATGTATTTTGCTACAAATATACTCCAGCGACTTAAGACTGGTTTTGTGCTCCAGGGTCACAAATGTCAGATCACCCCATAGGTCTAGGGCGGGGCAAGTGCGTTAAATGCGTTAATTTTAAAGTGTTATTTTTCACCATAATTAATTAATCTAATTAACGCGTTAAATTACCAGCCCTAATTTAAATGCATGATATACATGACATTCAAGTATATTTTAGTTATCATAAATGCTTGTCAGTACATTCAGCAGCTCACCTGCAGAAGTAATTATGAAATTCAGGGTTCCCACGCTTCTTTAAAGTACTTGAATTTCAGACATATGCATTCAAGGCCTGGAAAGTACTTGAAAACAAACATAGGTCCTTGAAAGTGCTTGAATTACATTTGAAATAAATTTTGTTTATGGCGCTATTTTAAAAAGTGTCCTATATGTTCTGTCAAACAGAACGAAACTGCACTAATGATTGGGGGTGGAGATGGGGTAGCGTGAAAAAAACCCAAAAACTTTTTGTTGATGCGCAGCCTAGAGCCCTGAGCGGGACAGTTTTCTTAAGCCCGCTCCCGCTGAATTTCTGACCATTACTGCCCGCTCCCGCAAACATTCTAATATTGTGTATTAGAGGGATTAAAGTTTTCCGTTGCAACGACGGATTTCCGTCAATTGAAAAAAATGAGGGGAAAAGAAACCTGTAGCGCATTGTTGTTGTTCTGCCGGTGTTCTGACAAATAATGCTACCTATCAGATTATGCTACCAACACTGTATTTATCCTACTGTAAGGGTAGGTTTAGGGTTGGGGCAGGTGAACATGTAAATAAAGCCTCACACCTTATTAATATCATGCTGGAAGCAAAATCTGATAGGTAGCACTTTTCGCTATCGAATTATGCTACCATCGAACACCGGCACACCAAAAATCATCCCCGCTACGGCTGCAGCTTCTCACTGACAACATAACGCCGCTCACATTATTCACAGTCAGGTTATTAGCAGAGAACACAGAGCAGGACTTGAATTTGGCGCGGGATTGCGGCTATTAATAATAATTCTACACATTCCCGCAGGTTCCGCATTCTACTCATTCCCGCAGGTTCCACGCTTATACCACGATGACAGATGACGGAACTTATCATTTGCACGTGCTTTTGAGTCTTGAGGACTCGCGCGCTCTCATTTTCTGTGTGCCCACATATCGCGATAAGGAGTGACAACTTTTAATAGTTGTTAAGGGAGTTTGCAAATGTGATATTGATTTAATACAACAGTTCAATAAACAAGTACTGCCTGATTTTGCTCTATTTCATCAACGAAAATAGTTCCAAATAAAGTGACAGCTCAGCCACTGCGCATCTCTAGAAGCAAACGCAGCGGTGTTTCATTCATGAATGAAAGTGCGTTTTTGAACAAATCTAGTGAGTCAGTGATTCATGATTACCCATTCATAAAGACTTGTTTCATTCCTGAATGAATCAGCTGTTCAAACGAATCAATTGAATGAATGATTCAGTGATAAAAATCAGTGACTTGCCGCCACCTGCTGGCGGTTTCAGTTTCGTTTTTAGGTAGCCTATAATTTCAGTTATTCAAATCATTTAATATTTATTTTTTCAAAATGTTATATTTAAAACATTAATCTCAACATGAATTTATGAATTTAATTGCACTCATGCCACCTCTGAGCCTCTGAAAATTTACCTACAAGCCACTTTTGTGTTCTTCTGTGCACCCTCTTTAGTACAAATTAATTTTTTATTAATACTAATTTCATATGAATGGTAACGTATTTGTCTTATTCTGCTTATTATATTTAAAAAAATATATATATTTTTAAAAAGCTTATAAACATACATTTTTGAATTTGACAGAT